CTTCCGTGTAACAGAAAGGGAAAAGAAACAGCGCGTCGAGGACGGTCAGGGAAAAAAGAGAGAGAGAAAGAAAGAGAGAAAGAGAAGAGGGAAAGGGAAAATAAGAAAAAGAATCTGCGCGCGTTTCCGCCGCAAAAAGACCGGGGATACATTTGCGGCGGAAGCGCGTCGGCCGGAAGACGAACAAGCTATCTGGAAATAAGAAAAGAGCGACGCAATAAAAACGCGCGCTTAACGGCCCATTACGGAAGTCGTAAAAAAGATTAAAGTTAAAGCTCCATTATGCAAAATTGCATCGCTCTCTCCTCCGGCTTTCCAGCTCGCGTCACGTGCGCGTCAGCGGCGTGCGTTTGTAGGTGCGTGCGTTCGCTCAAGCGCGCACACGACCGCGTAGTCGGGTAATATCGCGAGTAATACGCTGGCAAAAAATGCCTCTCGGGTGATTTAAATTAGAAAGCTGCTCCGCCGAACTGAAACGCGCTGACAGAGTCGCGCGTCGCTTGTTCTTTCATACATTACAGCAACGAGATCGCGTTTCGAATGTCCCGGGAGGATATCGCGAAAACGAACGTACGCGGGGATGGCCCGCGGGGAAGAGCGGAGGGAAGGGGGGGGGGTGAAACACTTGAAGCTATTTCTCTCGCGGAAATTGCGCGGTTCCGCGCTCACCCGGTATTCCGCATCGCCGTCGCGAACGAAGGCGCGTTGTTTACGAGCGACGCGGCCGCGTAATTGAGAGCGCTTAATAAATAAACACGCCCGCGCTTGAATACGCACCCCCGCCCCGCGCTTCGCCGGCGAGGTGCATGTGCGGATGAGCTGTGAAATATGAATCCATTTTTTTTTTCGGGGAACGTCGGTCCGCCCGGGAGAAAATTACGCTCGGCCTGATGTTTTGTGCGAGCCGCCGTTTCGATCGCGAGGAGCAATCAGCAGTGGCGATTAAACCAGTGGAGACTAACTGTCGATCCGGCGAGTTTATATCGCACGCCAAGTACCATTCCGCGGGGATTTCGGACATTTTATTTGCACAGAACACAGAGTCAATCCACATCTCCTTCTGTCGCGCGATCGACGACCTCTTGAAAATTCGCGAGGGAGACTCTGCGCGAGCGATTTGACACTCTTCGCAGGCGCGTTCGTGGAGCTCGCGTGGTAAGCTGTGTCTCGGTTCGATCGCGAAAGAATAAGAAAGAAAAGAAAAAAAAAAAGAAAACGGAAGAGGGAAAATCGAAGAAGAAGGAAGCGCGAGACAAGGGTAGAACTGAATCCGCTCGCATCCTTCTCTCAAGAAACGAATCTTGATTAATGGCGCAAGTTTCCGCTACCCTGTCCCGCGCCGGCCATGCTCGGAATGCATAATGACCGGGAAAATACATTAAAATTCAACCTCGCGGCGGCCAACCGGAGAGAACCGTCTCTTCCTACCTTCCTTTTCTCTCTCTCTCTCTCGCTCTCTCTCCTTCTCTCTCTTTCTCTCTCTTTCATTGTCCCTCACCCCTTTCTCCCTCACCCAGGTCTCGCAACTACGTCATCCTAAACGCGAAAGGATAACGTCATTCTTCTCGCAATTAGCGCGCCGTCCTTTCTGATTGATGACGACAATTAGTTCGAACCGCGTTGAAAGTACATCGTTCGTACACACGCTGACCGTTGGAACAGATCGTCGCCGTGACGGAGACCGTCAGTTAAGAGTTGCGCGAGCACAACTAGTCAGTCACGAGCCTCTTCCTTGTTAATGGCCGATTCGCTGAATGAAGTCGTTCACCGCGGTGCTTTTTCCAGCCGGTTTCTCTCTCCGTCTCCCTGCGCCGCACACACGCGATGGGATTAATCCTCAAAAGGTCAGCGGGCAGGGTGAACGGGGTGTGGCAATGACGGGATGTGAAAGAGAGGGAGCAAATTGTCCCTACGGTGAGAAAATGTTGCAGTAGAAATTATCACAACATTTTTGTAATCTCGAATCACGCAATTGTCATCGAAATTACTATATATTTGTGCAAAACTGTTATATAAGTTTGACTTTTTATTGCAAAATTATGGTAATTAAACGTTTCTCTATATCGTATAAGATAAATTATTGATCCTTATTAATATCTCTCTTTGACAAACTGGAAAAACTTTGTTTTTCTTGCGACCAGCGGCATTTGCTCACAGTTTTGGTCGTGAAGTTTTCTTTGAATGCAGGGAAGAAGTTCAACTGCAATGCTGCACTGTGAGAGGAAAAATATCTAAGAAGTAAACAATATTTATTCGGTGAACATATTTTTACTTTCATACTATTATAAAATATTCTTCAAATAACAACATATACTTTCTTCAAACTTTATTAGCTCTTCATGAAAGCAATTGCTTATTCTATTTAAATGAAAGAATTCCGATTTGAGTAAATATGTTATTAACGTCCAAATAAAAGCAAAATACCGAATAAATACTTTTTTTGTAATATTTCTTTCCACGTGTGGTCGCTTGAATAAATTGTTTTTCCAGAGTGTGTCAATGATTAAGAGGATGTCAATAATTTGGTGTTTTATCCTATCAGGTAGATCGTCAAATTTAATGTGTGTATAGTAATTTACGCTATAGTATCAGTATAAATCACACTGAGAGAAAAATATAGTTGCTTTCAGCGTCAACTATACTTTTTGCGATTTTAACCAGAAAAATAATTAGAAGAACCATCTTTCTAATAACACTTACTAAAACAATGGTTTTTCTAATTATTTCTGTGGTTAAAATCGCAAAAGAGTATAGTTGACGTCGAAAGCAACTATATTTTTCTCTCAGTGTTCTTTGCGAAAATCTTTGTGCAATAAAAAGAAATATAATTTCAACGTAATTTTTGCCACAATATTCTCCCCGTTGAGCTTGACATCGCGTTAATGGAAAAGAAGCGCGGCAGAATTTGGTCGAATTTCATGGCAACCCGTGCTTTTCCCTGAGCGATATCGAACGCGGAATATCGAGCGAATATTGTCGCACAATGATACGAGTTACGAAGGAGATAGAGTTTCCTGGCGCGCGTTATGGAATATAAATATTTCACCGGAGAGTGCGGGACGTGTGGCGGTTACCTACATCAAAAATAGCCGGTAATTCGCGCTGTTTGACTGTGCCCGCGATAATAACATCAAGTCGTAATTTATGGTTATTTCACGGCAAGAACTTTCCGGCGGCGACGACGACGACGACGACGACGACGATGACGACGCTGCCGCCGACGCGGGTCGATATTCCCGGGGTGTCGTCGGCACATCCTTCCGAACGACTTCATTCTTTTAAAACAATAAAATTCGCATCGACCGACCAAATTCTCGCATCGAGGTAGGAATTTTTACGGGCGGGCATAAAAGGCGGACCCGCATGCAGTTAACCTTAACAGTCTCACGAATCTTTTTCCGCAAGCTTCGCCGAGCGAGTGTGTTACGTAAAACGCGGGTCCCCTCTCTCTCTCCCTCTCCTCTTTCCCTCTCCCTTGCGCTCTTTCCTCGTGTCAATGGGAAAGAATCTATAAATAATTGAAAACATTATAATCTCGTAACGTGCAATTTTATCGTTACGTCACAAATACACTCGATGATATCAGGCTTACGTTGTGACGTCGACGCGTTTTTTTGCTGTTTTTTTTTTTTTACTTTCTCGACGACGACGTCGACATTGATGACGAGATGAGGAGAACTCGCACGACACCGTGTATTAGCGCGTTTAATACCGCCTGCAGTTTCCAGTTGAAACACGAGTTGCCACAGCGCAATTTCGCAGCGCAAATTGCCGCGTTTTAATGGCTCCCAGCTGATCCTTTAAACACTTGCGCGCTGTGTATAGCGTTAAGTAGCTTAATAATTAACTCGGCGCATGTAGCTGTGGCGCGTCGCAATAAAATTCATCGCGGATTAATTGAAAAATAATATCCCCGCGCGATTGCGCAGTTTACACGCTCGCGCGCGAATGCCGCTTAAGCGCTTAATAAATTCGACGTTAAACATTCCGATAATTAACAGCGCGGATTAGATCCTCATTGAGGAACGTACGAGTACACGTGAGTTAATTGTATAAAACGGAGGGCCGAGAGGGGGGGCAAACTTTGTGGTCCTCGTGCGAACCTTTTCGCTGCGGGCGACTCGCGCTCGTCCAGCTGACGGTTTCGCGAGAGCGGCTGGTTTTTTGCGAGTAACGCGAATAACGGAGAGCGTAAATCTCGGTGGAAGTGCGATTCGTATCGTGCGTAAGTCCACGTTAAATGCGCATCAACGAGCGACTCAAGGTGACGGCAAATCGGAGAGCCGGATCGACGAGCGTTCATGCGCAACGGCCCCCGCATTAATGAATTTCGTTTTCCGTTCTTTTTTTTTTTTTCTTTTTACATAAGAATATGATCTCGCGAGAGCCGTTCCGATCTCGCCTTGACCCGGTTCCCTCGTCCCGAGGCGATCCGGTGTGGTGAGCGGCCTGTCGAGCTTCGCCGTTATTCAAATTGCTTCTCGCGCGTCAAATCACCGAATCTCTTGACTCCACGCGGATGCTTTTGACCGAAGGTCGGGAGGCATGACCGAGACGATGTGTGCTGTCTCTCACGTCTGTGAGACGTATAAATTCCATAATACATGTAATGCGACCCTTTTCGTTTCTCGTTGTTGCGCGTAAAGTTACGCTTAAAATTGAGACTCAACCCGTATTTAGAACGGATCAAGTTTGTTTTACACAGTTACCTGAAAACAATTGTAATGTAATTTACAGAGAGACAATTCCCAAAGTAAGTTGTGTTTGCGAGCGTATCAACTACTCTTCAGCTGGATTCGCGACCGCGTTATCTCGTCGAGTAAAACGCGTCACATTGTTCTCTTCGTATCGCTGTATATCTCATTACGTCGTGAGACGATTCGTCGAAGCTGCCCCCGTGAGACAGTTCACGACAAAGGCCGGAGATCTATTCGCAATTGCGCCTTTTAGCGCGTGCATATATATACACACGTGCGCGCAGAGTTTCACGGGTGACTTACCTTGTAACTGCCGACCGCATGCGCGCCATCGTAGATGTAGAGATGGTCGTTGCAGTCTAGATGCAGTTGATCGAATCGGAGCATGAACCGCTGTAGGATGCTGTGAGTCTGGAAAGTAATGGCGCAATTGAGGTCCCTCTCATTTTGCGAAGTAAGAACGGCGCCGTCGATCTTCCTGTAAAGATCCCGCAGGAAGTACTTCTTGCAAATGTCGGTCATCTGATCTGTAAAGGAAACGGAAACACACATGAAGGGAGAGAGAGAGAGAGTGAGTGAGTGAGTGAGTGAGTTAGTCGGTCGCGTTTAACGATCGATGAGTCGCGCTATAAATGCGACGCGCAATCGCGGCGTTATCAGAATTGCTCTCTAAAGTACAATCTTATGCGTCTAAGTGTACTCTTCACTAAAATACTACACTTGCAATTGCTGGTTCAGTTATAAATATAGCACTGCGATCAATAGAATTTCGTTGAAAGGATTAGTTTATAGTAGCAACAGTTCCTATTATTGATGCACTGTGCAAACACAGACAGTGCCATCGACAGTGCACGCGAGGCGCATGGAAGCCGCTAATTCCACCGCCACATGCGCAGAAAGTTGAATTTGGTGCAGCGTACAGAAGAAAATGTTTGGTCGGATGCAGCAATTCCTTTTTGAATCGTTCATGTTTCAACTAGAAAATTGGTTCTTACAACCAAACTATTTTTTCCACGCATACAACGAGTTTGTTGCATTAGAAATTCTACGGGAGGTGTGAAATCTTACTACCTTACTTACTGGTCCAAATCAGTGAGATACAAGACGGAATACTACAGTGGTAGTGTTCCCACTGAAAATCAGTGAATCAAGTCAAGACTTGCACAAATAAAAGAAAATATTAAGTTTGTGCAAGTGCTCTTTTAATATATGTGATATTATATTACACATATATAATTATATATTATGTATGTACATGAAAAGCAACATAGTCTGCTCAGCAGTATTCGATATTTCGGAAAAATCGCAGAGAAAGAGAATCGATGTTTCCGCTTGATTGTGATATGTCGCGTTTCTTTTTATATATATTTTTTTTCCAGTAGGAGCAACGCTATTACGTATCTCGGTATAAACGATACAAACGCACGATCGCGCTTCTGTTCCACTACCCACGCATTTTAAATATCTGTCGTCCGTACAAAGGTAAAACACCCGCGTTTTGAGGTCAGTGCTGAAAATTCCACTTTCGCGCGCTCCCGCGCACGCGGATGACACGCGGTGAGAACGCGCGTCGCGCAAACAACCGCAATACCAGAGCTAGATGCGCGATTGCAGCAGCCGTTGCGGATTTGCATTTAAAACGAATGATAACGAATGCACGTCGGCAGTAGGTAGTCCCGGCAGTCAACGCGTCGGGAAATAAGTTACAGACGCACTTCGTTCTCAGTCTGGGAGAGAGAGAAAGAGAAAGAAGGATGGGAGAAAGGGGAAGAGAGAGAGAGAGAGAGAGAGAGAGAGAGAGAGAGAGAGAGAGAGAGAGAGACCCCATATTGCGGGATCGCCATAGTTTCCCCGACGTTATGTTATGCCGTAACATATTTCGCGACAGCAGAGGTTGCAGTTCTAGAACTTCGCGCTCTCGTCTTAGTCTTGCGTCTTCCTTCCTTCCTTCCTTCCTTCCTTCCGTCCGTCCGTCCGTCCATCCGTTCGTCCTTCCTTGCTTACGGCCACCCACACTCCTCGTTTACTCTCGCTCCGGCTGTGCAACGTCGAAATTACTTACTCTCGAGAGTGAGCCCGAGACGAATGCGTTCGTTCGCACCGCTTAAAGCGCAGCCTGCGAACGTCGTCGTTGCGTCATGCCGGCTTTCGCATCACGTCCCGTCACGCCGCGCTGCACCGCGTTTTCAGCTGGGAAGCGAGCGAATAAACAGCCGCGGGCGAATCTAGCGCGATCAATTACACCGGCTAATAATTCATCGGCTCGCTAGTCCGCTAGCCCGAGAGAAGCAAGCCGGCGAATTGTGCGGGACGTGCGTGATGTGGAAGAGCGCCCGTGCGAATGCGTTATTAATACGATCGTTCGATCGTTACATCGCGCGCGCTTGGCAAAATCGCGAACGCGCGTAGAGACGCGTAAAGAGACGCGTTTATGGGCTCGTCACTCCCCGAATTGAAATTTTGGCCCTACCTTCGGCCTAAACTCTCTGGCATCTATATGTTCTGGAGGGTCTATGCATGTTTAACATGTATGGAAATTTAAATCCTATTTAGCGCCTCTAATAAATGGCGAAAAACGCATAAAACGCCACTTGTTGGTTCTAAAGAGAACCTCTTGGCAAAGCTGTAGGTTAAATGGAGTTGAAAGAACTTGATACAGGTTTCAAAGGATCAAAGTAAATGTTAAATAGTATATGAGGTCGAAAGTAAGATCAAGATTTCGGGCTCAAGCAAACGGAATTTATTGCAACCTGCTTGGCGCTTCTGAGTGGCGGAGGGCGCACAAAGTGCCACATGTAGGTTCCAAAGAGGATCTCATGGCAAGGTTGTCGGTTGGATAGGTTGAGGGAGGTTGTGGACTTCAGAGTGTTGAGGTCGAAAGAGAGTGGGATCAGTTTCGACTCGATTCATCAGATGTAGATTCGTCCATGGATTTATCGCGTAAACTTGTTGGAGCGGTTTGCTTCGAAGATGACGTCTAGCCGGGACGTCACTCTCGTGACTTTTGACGACGGCAGAAATTCGTTAACGCCAACGTCGAGATCCTCTAACGCCAAATTCAGGCCATTTCGCAAATGGGGCGCGTATAACGCGACATGCTTTATAAATGAATTCATTCTATCGAACTGCCGCCGTCTCTAATAACAAGTTGGCGAAGTCGTTAACTTTTACTGCACATTGGCGCCGAGTTTTACGGGACTTTTTCGCACCTCGGCCATCGCCACCGACGACGACGACTTTGTCCGCTCGTCGAACACGTACGGTGCGTTGCACATCTGGAGAGATGTAGCAGGTGAACAGGAAAAACGTGACTCGCCGCTAAGTAATGCATTATGGCACGCGCAGGTGGCATTCCGAATTGCGGAAGGTTATAACAGCGATCGTCGATCCGCACGTGAATCGGCAATCGCTGTTTCCTCTGTATCGATCGACATTGCTATTTTTCGCCACGGTACGTAAGACGGATGAAAACGAAGGCACGTCCGACATAATTTCGAGCTATATTTAACATAAGATCAGAATACCAATGCCTGGATACGTATCTAACTCTGGACATTCTTATCGTTCCGATTCTTAGATACGAATATCAAAATTTTCAATATAAAATATATAATGTGTACATATAGTATATATGTTGAATATATATCAGCTAAATTGCATTTCGCCCATTGCATTAAAATTAGACTAAGTTGGAATCTCGGTCGTCTAAATTCAGGTGGGATACGATTGTGCAAATAGGTAAGAGTGACAGACGCGAAAAGTGAAACCAAGGATTCCAAATCCGGAATTTGTAAACGTCGAAATCAACAACTGTGATGAGAGAGAGAGAGAGAGAGAGAGAGAGAGAGAGAGAGAGAAAGAGAGAGAGAGAGAGACGCGCGTCTTTCGAATCTGCATCGAATTCGAGATCAGTTTGCGAGAGACAAATTTTGCGCGAAAACGCCGGGATCGAACTATCCGTGGGAGGAGAAACTGTTTTCTCAGACAACCGCGATTTAGCCGACGTGTATACTTTGCGCATTCGACCGAGCTGGTATTCGCGTATACCGACTACTGGCTATATACTAGCTAACCATCCCTATAACTGGTATTAACTTCGTCGTAGCGGAAAGTCTCGATTCTCCAGTTTCTCGTGTCCGAGATGATTCTGCGGAAAGCGAACCGCTTAAATATCGTCCGATCTTCGGGACAAAATCGAGATGTTTGCACAGCGATATTCCGTTGGCGCGTTTCCACGGAGACGGGCGCCGCGCGGGAGCCGCGTTCTCGTTGTCGCTCTACCAAGCGCGATTACGCTCCTCAATACTCTCAATAGCGAGCGCCGGATGAGCATCGATCAAGAACACTCACACTTGATCAACCGCGATCGCTCCTTGAAGAACCTCCGCCGCCATAGCCGCGGAGCGTTTAAATGCACGTCCAACAGACTGCAGTGCTCAATGCCTGTTTTGATCGGCGAATCGAACCGGCCACGTCGAGTTACTCGACCGATTGGCAACCGATTGATCCCCGGATCGTCGAGATAATGAAAGTCGATTTGATCTCTTTCTCTCTCTTGCTCGTTCTCTCAATGTGCTCGCTATTAAACTCAGTCTACCGCACCTGATGGGATAAGAGGCGCAAGCTAAATTTCCGCTTACTCCGAAAATACCGTTGGACCATAATCTTAAAAGGGACACCTCGCCACCTCCGCCCCTGTGTGATTCGCGTTGATTTGAATCGCGATGATTGAAGACGTTTTTAGACGACAAGAGGGTTAAGGTGAAAATACTAATATCTGGACATTAATCATTTTAACATCTAACTCTGGACGTTCTTATTATTATTCTTTATTTTTGTTTTGGCCTTTGAAGATTTAAATTAATATTTAAATTTTCAATGTAGAATATATACACATGTATTGAATATGTTCCAGTAAACACCATATATATATATGTGTATGTATATTTTTAATATCAGTTTACCAGTTCCTTATGCACTCCCTAAACCATCGAAACCTGATCTGAACTAAATTTTGTATAGTTACTCTCTATAATCCTGCGAAAAATATATGAGAAAAATACATGAGAAACCTGAACATCCCACCTATTTCCCCTGATTTAATCCTCTTGACACTTTAAGATAATTTGGTCAAAGCTGGGTAGTTTCAGCTAGTCAATAATATAACATTGATGTAATACTATTGATGTATCACTTGGAGTTTACTGAGATACGCGTATATTCGATGTTGAAAGTTTATATATTTACATAGAAACTAAAGTAATAAGTGTTAGGTATTAGTGTTATTAGCGCCAAGCTATCAGTATTTTTAGCTTAATCCGCCGGTTTATATCGCACTATTTTTATAGTGATCAGGATTCTCTTGAGATCGTGGCATCGGTACTGCTTCGATGATGGTGGGGATTTATTACGCTCCTACTTTTCGGACGTGTATGTATGTATATTTTATCGATCGCGTCTATGTGCTTACGTGGCCGCCGTCGTTGCCGTCGCCGACGCTGCTGTCGCGGAAATAGTGGAGTTACTC